CTAGAGTCAAATACGTGGAAGGATCAGAGCTATGTATGAGGGAGATAATCCTTAATTTTGAAATAAATGTCTAAATTTTACCAGAGCAATGAAATATATATCAGTATTTTCAAACTAGTATCGAAGTACTTAGCTCCTGGGCAGTAGAGACCCTCGGGGACTAAACAGTCCACCAGCAAAGGCTTCGATCTAGGGGTCAAAATTTAAATCTTATACGGCACCATAATTGATGCACCAGATACGCATTTCGACAAATTAAGTCTCTTGAGTGATGCTCATGCCGAAACGCTGGAAATCCGAAAACTTTAAATTATTGTTGTTTTACAACGAGTCGGCAATATTTCAGCCATATTTCGGTGGAAAAATTTTGGAGAGCTGAAAAAAGGGGTGCCAAAGACTGAAGCTAAATACGTCAAAGGATGAAATATGGATATAACGAACAGTAATCAAACTCAAAGTCCATTTAGACAATACAAATCAGGAGCAGAGCAAACACAGACCTTCAAAAACATCAGAGGTGGGATCAGGTGCCATGAAAAATCCGTAGACAATTCAGTATGTAAATAATGGCCTAACAATTAGTATGAAAAACGTCAGTCAGCATAGGTTGTATTTGCTGACAAGGTCATTGTATCGACCATATAACTTGCAAAATGATGACTTCAAACGAGACTGTTGATTTCCTTGTTTATCAACTTGTTTGTCAATAGCTTGCCTTGTTTTAGAAATTCTTCATATGTGTAGCATGCTCTTGCGTATCGAATAAAATGGGAGACAAAAATCCCATATGCAGGTGACAAGGGTATATTGCTACATTAGTAAGGGAAGATGACGATTGAAAAACTGAAGTCATCACGTTTATCATAAAGTTTTGTTGTGAGGTTACCATTAAAGTTTTTTCTAGTAAAATATCCAAATATGAAACAGATGTATCAGACTCTGTGTTATATTTTATTTTAATCTCACTGGGATTTATCGTGTCGATATATGAATGGAAGTAACTATTGTTAATTGATAATACTGCGTCGATATATCTAAATTGGGTTGAAGGTCACAGCAAGAGTTTTCTTTTTCTCATGCATAAGATTTTTGAATAAATTTTGAATAAATTCTGCTTCATATGAATACATAAATAGGTCTGCAAATAAGGGGGCGCAATTGGTACCCATGCGAATTCCAACAGTTGTTGGAAAACCTGGTCTCCAAAAACCACATAGATATTGTCAATGAGAAACTCTGGCATCTTTTTATAATCAGCTTCAGAGTACTTGTGTGTACAATCAGAATGTTTTTAATAAAAATAATTTTGCAAATGACCAATGACAAGGTAAGTAAATTTTCGAGTTCCATTTTTATTGAAAAAAAACAGCTGTCAAGGATATCAGAAAGCCTGGACTTTAATTTATCATGGAGAGTGGTTGTATATAGAGTTGAAAAGTCGTAAGTTTTTATGTTATAGATTTTGGTAAAATTTTGTGTTTTCAAATTTTCCAAAAGTTCCTTGGAATTTTTAAGTATTCACATCTAATTTTCACCACTTCTCAAATATATTGTTGCACAGTACTCCTGAGGTTTCTCCTTCACTGTTTTTTCATATTGTATCGAGGAGTAAAGAAAGGGGCTTGGCAGAACATTTACTGGAACCCACTATGTATCTTTGTAAGGGTTTTTGAATGTAAATCATATACAGTACCAATTTTGATGCACCAGATGCGCATTTCGACAAATTATTTCTCTTCAGTGATGCTCAAGCCGAAACGTTGAAAATTCAAAATATTTAAATAAAAAAGACTTGGAGGAGCTGAAAAAAGGTGCAAAAGACTGGAGCCAAATACCTGGAAGGATCAGAGCTATGCATGAGGGAGATAATCCTTAATTTTGAAAAAAATATTTTCTAAATTTTATCACAGCAATTAAATATATATCCATATTTTCAAGCTAGTACCGAAGTCTCGATTCGTCGAGAAATATTTGTTAAAAAACACTATTGCCCGCTGAATAATGAAGCCACACCCTCCCTCGAAGCAACAGATAACACTGCTTGACGACGGGTGATATTCCAAAACAATATTGACTACGCAGAATTCATGCGCGCAAGGTTCACTCTAATATGTATTTGTTTAAAACATTCAGTATAATATAATAAATATTGCAAGTAGTTGAGTGTAACATTGCAAATTTTCACCTCTCGAAAAACCATTGTTAACTGAGGCTGCGCCTCAGTTGAAAATAGTTTTCTTGGGGTGAAAAGTTTACACTACATGCAGTATTTATATAATAACGAGTCTAAAACAAAATAGTGTTCTTGTTTGTAGCATTTGTACGAGAAACTTTGGAATGAAAATTACAAATAAAAGTTTTAAATCAATTTTGAATTAATAATTATCATTCGAACAATTGATAAATGGCTGAAATTTAATTTTATGCTGGGGTTTAATTATGAAAAAGTCTTTAGTTGCCTTGCTGCCAATTATCATATTTTGTTAAGTAAAGCAATTAAGGAGAACACATTAAAGCATTAGATGCATAACATTATCACTGTTGAAAAAAAATCGTGAACAAGGAGATATTTTTCTTGGACTTAAACAAAAACACTAATCAAATGCCCAAGACAATGACCTAGTAGGTTTCTCAGAACATAGCATACCGAATCAGTTTAGAAAAAACGATATATGCAGCTTATAGGGGAATATTACGACATAAATTAGGGAAAAGCTGAAGTCATCCCGTTTTGCTTATAGTTCAGTTGTTAGTTTGTCATAAACATCTATAGTTATTCAAACATCCAGATATGAAATAGTCAAACATCCAGATATGAAAGAGATTTTGGTCTTCGTGGATTTTTTAATTTTGAGTTCACTGGGATATATCGAGTCGACATATAGATGAAATTAACTTTTGTTCACTGATAAAACGTCGATATATCTAGATGTCTTTTTGAAGGCTACGGCAAGAGTTTTCTTCTACTGTAGAAGTGTAATAAAATAATTGAGCTTTGAAAGAATTTAAAAACAGGTTAGCCAATAAAGAAGCATAATTCATGTAATTCTCATTTCAACAGATTGTTGGAAGATCTGGTTTCCAAATTCTCCAAAGACTACGCAGATATTGTTAATGAGGAACGTCGGCATCTATTCAATCATCTATTCAAGTTCAAAGTACCTGTGTGAAGAATCAGATTGATTTTTACATAGTATTTTTGTAGATAACCAATTGCAAGATGTGAAAATTTCTGAGTTCCTTTTTTTATAGAAGAAGATGTTTATAATGTCAAGAAGTGTGGTCCTTAATTTGTGCTAAATGTTGAAAAGTCATTCGTTTTGATGTTATTGATTTGGGAAGAATTCTATGATTTCAATTTTTTTTTAAATATTTGATTTACACCACTTCATTATTTTATTCTAGCACGGGATACAAAGGATTGTTCTGAGAATCAATTAACATTGGTGTACCGTTTGTTGCAAGAAGTGCATCGCATATTTTTATTATTTTCTTAAGTTTATATTTGTGGTGACTTCCTTGGCATCACCCACGATTTTGATGATTAAATATCTTTCATCGGAAACATCAGTTTAGGAAGAGTAACTTAGGAGAGTTAAAAAGAACAGAACATTCTACAATATACAGCTGTGACGCACGCTCCAAACGACGCAATCATATTTACCAGTTGACAATGAAAGGCGCGTGTAACTGTTCACTCATATACAAAAATACAATGATCAAGTTTTCTTGTGTTTAAATGCAATTAATTAATTCACAGTTTGAATAAGGGAAAGTTTCAAAACTTCATATATCTGTGTGAAAGTTTTTTTTTATGTAGAATTAATTTCTAAAACATATAGTACATCCATCCACTTCTGACTTGAATGATTTACTGTACTTCATATATTTAGCAATCAAAAATGCATCAATCTGTAAAATGTTTGTGTTCTTGATCACGCTTAGCTAATTACTAAAACCTGGGCAGTTTTTGGAATTAAAAAAAAATGTATGATGCTCTTAATACATCAACAAAACAGATATATGTAAAAGGTACTTAAATACGATGGGAGCACTGTTATTATGAGAGCATCACATTGAAATTTATAGTCACGATATATATAACAAAACTCACACAAAACTTTTTTTCTTAAAATCTCTTAAGGAAATTATCACAAGCGAGATATGTCTCTTCATTTTTATTTTGATCATCACCATACTCGCAATTTAATCAATTATGACATAGTATAATAGTTCGAGATTTCATCAGTTGTAAAGATAGAGAAATCTTGTGAAACGAAGACATCGGAATTAAATGTATATGAATAATATAAAGTTTTGTCTGTTTTTTTTCCTTGACTCGAGTAAGTTAAGTGAAATGAAATGCGGAAACAATATTCAAAATGTCACCTTCCTGTCTAATACAACTTTTATTAACATGGTTTACCAGTAACCATATCGCATTATGAAATCAACAGTGTTTGGCACGTATGGAAATCATGGTATGTACCATTACGCAGTGGTACCAATTGTACCAGACAATTACCTGATAGCTAATTTATAGAAGAAATTTAGAATACACTAGTTTTAGTTCAAAAATAGCTATCGTTTCTTTTAATCCTTATACAGAATTCACAATTTAACAATTTGCAATTTATTTTGCTGATGGTGTCAAAAATATATTGCAAATACATATTTACGGTGCATCAGATGTATGTAATAAATTTAATTATCATAATTTATGCATGTTGTCATGATAATTTTTCCATATAGGTATATAGCTTCTGTTAGAGATGTTTTTTATTAAAAATTTAAAATTAATACTTTATAGAATGTAGAAACTTCGTGGGACAAAAACTTCCCAAAATAAGCTGTTAAAAAGGATCATCAGCAGTAAGGAAAAAAATTGAAGTATATTTTTTCTCTCTCTGAGATTTCCCTGCTCAGTGATGTAAGATAGGATAGCCTGAGGCACCATTCCATGAATAATTATTATTGCTAGAACAATTATACGTCGGGCGTATTGCGACCAACAACTATAGAGAGCTATACGGAAGCCGCGGGCGCGGTGTGGTTTATTCTTTCTGTATAAAAAATCATCCAATTCAATCCAATCGACAGTTGTGAATTTCAGTCACGGAGTTTAAGCAAACAGGTTAGTACTTTCTTCTTCATTTTAATTAAATGATTAATAAAATTAAAACATTCTATGGAAATCTTAATTAAACTAAACAGAGTAAATAATAAAGAACATGAAATAGTCTCTAACATCGTTTTAAGAATAATCAAACAAAAAGGAGTTAAAGATGTTAATAAGTTTTGTTGATAGTTTCATTTTTAAAAAGTCTCCGTGATATTGTTTACAATTTTAAGTTTGTTTTTTTTTTTTTTGGATTTTTATACTATATAATGAGTGGGCTGCACAATAAACTACCTTTAACGCGTTGTCTGACATTTGTCATTGACAACTGACATGGCCATCATACTAAATCTCCCCACGATCCAAGAAATGTATGTTTTGTTTTCTTCAAGTATAACAAATAAATATTCCGACTTTGGTCATATTAGCATTGGATTATTAGATGATGATTTGCGTTTTTGAGTGGTTAAACGCTAATGAATAATCAAACTATTATGACGTCCATGCAGCAATTTGTCCCTGTCTGCGAACACATAAGTAATTATGCAGTCAGAAGAAATATGGGTAATAAATTTCCGTGTGAATTCATTAACGAAAATAAAAAGAAACTTCGTTGTCTGCACTGACATATATCATTTGTGACTTACACTCTACCACCAACTTTTCTTCTTCTATTCAGATTATGAAAATGTACAAAGGTTTGCAGTGTTTGATTAGTATAAGTCTGGTGTTAATTGTGAAGTCTCAGAACACAGACCTTGCCGCCATAGATCCACAAGGTAAGATCTGACAATGACGAATTCTGTAAATGGTCGTTTCTGGTTTGTGCTTTGTCGGTTTGTTGGGTCTATTGCTACTGGTATACTGCGAAACAAAGTCAATTTATAGGGCTGCCTACAGTTTTTCATTCGGATCTGCAACAGTCAATAAGCACTCTGAGAAACATCCTAGAGTGAAAATATTATGGGGGACTCTCCCTTTAAGCAAAATTGGCAATCATCAAAATGTCTCAGATTTCTACCCAACACCCCCCCCCCCCCCCCTAAAAAAACAAACAAATCGGGAAAGTAACAAAATATTAACCTTCATCGACTTGAAGACACCAAGAAAGAAAATCTTGGTATTTTGAAGAGACGCATTGTCCATACGAAGTTGTAATAGTTCTATATCTAGCAATATATATAATGCAAATTCCAGCCACAGATTCGGTTCTGCACATATTACTCATAAATTGGTCTACTATATAACATCAAACTATTGATTAGATGGTTTGAATTCTTCTTAACTCTGTAATGTAACTAAAGAAACCTCTCATCTGAAGGAATAATTTTTATTTATGTGTGTCGGATTCTTTTTTCTGGTAGTACTGTGCAGTCCCTGTAAAAATCGAGGGTCGTGTGATGTAGCCGTTATGGGGGAGTGTACCCAGTACTATAGCTGTAGGATGGTGGACAATAACTGGTATTATGTGAAAATGAATTGTGCTCACGGAACCCACTTCTCTGAGGCATCAGGGGGATGTTTAAAGCCAGAGGATGCCAACTGCCCATACGGTATTATAATCTTTTTATTATTATATTCATCACCGGTGAAATGATAATATTCTTCACTATTTTATCAGCTTAGAGTGGTTTCTTTTTTGCGTAAAATGCAAAACAAGTATTTTATACTAAAATTTACAGTTTATCATTGACAAGTTTTATCACTGAAACCCCATTTATATCCACAAATTTTCCCTGTAGTGAGAGGGGACAATTCTGGCTATTCGCAGCTTGTTTTTGCTTAACCTCTTATATACAGTATTAAGAAAGAAACATCGAGTGAAAATGTCATTTATTGAAACTAACAAATGACTAAAAACTACATTTAACTATTACATAAACTTATATCACAATTAATTGGCTGGGCTTAAAACAAAATATATAGTACATACAAATTGACTAGATAAACATGCTGACTAGTCACATGACAAATTGACTAGTTAAAAATGCTGACTAGTCACATGACATAATTCTTGCTAAACACATGACAAAAATAGTCCAGCCAATAGTATAACTGGTAAAAAACACTTAAGAAGCAAAAAGATGGTGCACAAAAAAGCCAGTGTTTATTTGCGTTTCTTTGCCGCATGAGATGCATGCAAGAAAATATAGTTATCATGGAGTTTATATGATACTGTGTAATGTAAATACAGTGCTCAAAGAAAAAAGTCAACACTGTACAATATGGTTCATTAAAAAACAAGTATGTTAATGTATTTAATAGACTAGTTAAAATAATCTGTGTCTCAGGATAGGCCCTTGCTTAACCGGGTCCGTAGGAGGAAAATTATTCTTGTGACAAAACGTTCAGTCTGGCAGATTTCATGCATGCTGATAAACAGCGTATAAGCAGATATGTAACTATTTTTTACTAGATCCTTGTGCCAATAAAACCAGTGGTTTCTACAAGCTTGAGGGTTTCTGTCGTTCATACTGGGAGTGTAAAAGCCGGAATTTCGGAGGGATATCCGAGGCCCATTGCTGTCCCGTCAATCAAACCTTCAGTCCGGATGGGAAATGCGTAGATGACCCAACTTGTGACAATTTTGAAGAATGCACCACTCTTCCAGGCGAGGGCATTATCAATGGTATGTTTAAGATACATAAATCCCGCAATCAAAATGTTTGATTCTAATTCCATTGCCTTTACGATAAGATCAACTGTTTCATGAAACGAATTTTTTTACTGGAGTTAATTTAGAAACGTAAAATCAGACTAAATTTACTGCCATCACAACGTTTCGGAATAGAAATCAGAAAAGTCATTTGCATTTTGCCAAATAAGAATATGAGACCTTTCTTTCACTTGTTTCACTTTTTTATAAAATACATAGATGTGGTCTGCCCTGAAGGAAGGTATGGATCTGGTTGTAGATATATCTGTTCAGAACACTGTATTGGAACTTGTGATTCTGTTAATGGAGAATGCTCATTATGTGCCAAAGGATGGATGGGCTCCAAGTGCATGGAAGGTATATTGAAAACTTTTTAACGATACCCATCCAGTTCCCTTCTTTTGTAATGTAAAATATACTTTCCAGCAAAGACGTTTTTCATTCTTAGTATAAAATATGTTAAACAGTCTTGTAAGGTAAAAATTGATAACGGTGTGTGTTCGCAGTAATCAACACATTATTTATTTGTTTTTAGAATGTTGTTACAAGAGTCAACACATTATTTATTTCTTTTCAGAATGTCGTTACAAGACTGTTGCAGATAATATTTACCTATATATGGAGGATGTTGGTGCCGGAAATGAGATCAAGCGAGCTTGTGGATTAGGAACAATGTTTAACCAGGACAAGTGTATCTGTGATAAAGATCCAAATTACGTCATAAACAAAGGTGATTACGTCACTTATAGTCCAAAAAATGTCAACCCCCCTACCTAACCCCTCCCCCAACCATAACCCCCACACCACCCCCAAATATGTGCGGATTAGATTGCTTTGACAGAAAGGTGCAACTTCTCTTTTTCATATTGTAGAACTGTGAAAACTAATAAGCTCTGTGACTTCAGCTGACAGCTGAGCTTATAGATCTATCCATAGATATAGTAACTTAGTCCTTTCAGTATCTTCTGTTTGCCTTGAAATTCTTTTGTTAAAAAAAGACAAGGAAAATTAATAAAAAGTATTTATGATTTTGTTTCATATGCAATTAGCGATAAAATTTGACGAAATCGCTAAATCAAGTCGTCTGTTTCTCTTCTTCCTGAAGAAGTGTGTAATGCAGTGGCTAATATCTCATTTTATTTTTTATTAGAATGCAAAGCAGATGTTGAAATAGCTTTTGAATCTGGGAATCAAGTCAAGAATACAATCGACTGGAAGTGGATCGGCGGTCAGTTCCGGTCCATTGCAGAAACCGTCCCTCTCGGCGGCAATGTCTACAAGGTCGGCAGATTTGATGGCACAAAATCCAACCTGTACATCCCCTTCTATAACCGGAACACAGAAATGAGGAACCAGTTTGCCACCGAAATCCTCTTTAATCCGGATAATGGCAAGGGCGAGAAGGAACAAATTCTTATCTCTAATTGTCAAAGTGCTAATAACAAGGCCCTGGCGCCATTTGAAATCAAACTCTTAAAAGACACTCAGGATATTCAGATTAGTTTAGAAGGTGTTCCAACCGACGCCACTAACGCAGAACCAGCATCCTTTTCCGTCACAATGAAATACAAGGTACCTTCTTTAAAACACACGATCAATACAGTCTGTGTTATTACGTATAGTGTTTTGTATTTCATTAATAAATATAAAAGAAATAACTGTAAAGAAAAATGAATACAATACCAGTTGCTAGATTTCACAGACATAATAATCATCAAATATACTTGAAAACAAATGATATGCATATATCACGTATACATAAGTAATGCGAGCAATTGATTAATTGCACCAGTGTATGATAGGTAATATTGCTCAGGTTAGAGAAACAATGCAGTATATATATATATATATATATATTTTTTTTTTGGTTTAGCCTGACGATTGGAACAAGCTTGAGGTTGTGTTTAACGGAGCGAAGAGTTCCCTGACGGCACGGAATATGGATTTGTCAGGCGGCGTCATAAGTGAGGGAAGCACAGCTGTCCAAAGTAAGTCCCGCCCAAATAATTAACATTATAAACTAATCAATATTAAAGCTTCTACAATAAACGTAGACATACAGTGCTTCATACGTAATTCTTTTCATAGCGGTGTGTAAATGTTGAATATCTGACACCTTACTCGGTATGAATTGTGGGGTTACACACTTTTGTCGTGAACATGCAAGATTCTTCAGAAATTAAGTATGTAGTGGGGCATAAGTATCTTTGTACTACATTGCAAATAAAAGTAAATGTAAATTTTAAAACTTATCAACAGGTTTCCTTGAAAACGGCCTTGATCTGAGGATAGGATGGTGCCCAGAAAAAGGATACTTCGTTGGAAAAATGGCAATGGTAATTAAAAACAAAACACAATTTGAATATTTATTAACAAATGTCAATGTGAAATATGGTCATCACTTCTGTTAGCCGTTTTATGTATTATGCTGTTTATCTCCAGGTTCGAACGTATCTTTGTGAGCCTCAGTTTGAACTCAATACACAACCTGCAGCAGACACAACTGGTATTGACGCTGCACCAGCTGACGTTGCTGCTGCCGATGTTGCACTGACTGACATTGCAGTTACTGGAGTTGCGCCAACAGTTTAATCCAAAAACCATTGGATAGATATAGAGACAATTTTTTGCACTTTCATACATCTCCTTATGTTCCTTTTGCATGATAAAATATTTCATTTTATCCCATTTGTAAATTTTATTTTGCATAATTTCATTTCATTTGTCCATAAATATGTATGTTTTATTTATTACTAGATGTTCAAATTATGCATGTTTCAGTTTACTGAACATTTCCCCCAGGCATTAATATGTTACTGGTAATAAACATGCCGGCGAAATCCTCATTTTCCCCATTGTTACGTTTGTTTTTATAGAAAAACCACTGAAATAAAAAAAAGATTAATTGTATTTTTGTTTGTTTTTTTTTTCCTTCAGTATTTGTTTATGTGAAGTTATCGAAAGAAAACAACCAAATTAAGACATAAAGACCTTCACGCATGATAACTATATGTATTAGAATAAAACATTTCCAGCGAAGGCAATGTACGTTTCAAGATATAGATGTCTATTCACATCTAATAGAGGTAGTTTTTCTACAATTAATTTTACGATTTTAACCCAATTGCCCAGCCAATCAAAACTTACAGATGATATACTTTTCATATTTATTTTACTTTGATTAATTTAAATCTGCTACTGCCTGCTACCATCAAATAAACACCAGATGTTTCTGACGAGACTGTAGCTCCACTGGTTTGTACTTATAACGAAGGAAGAGAAAATTAGCACTTGCACTTGAAACTTTGCAACAGAAATAAATAGAACAATGGTCCTTCGTTTTGTATCTTTTTGTGGCAAGATTTATTGCAATCAGACTAAAAGTGTAGGAGGAGTAGCCTTTTGAAAGAATTTCACAGAAATTTCAATTTTTAGTAGCCATGGAAACATCATTCATTAAAATCAATAACCGATAAAGACAATTAAGTATCTCATTGTATTCTTTTTGCATGTCAAGTTATATTAAAATCAGACCAAACTGTAGGTGGAGTAGTGTTTTGAAAGTATTTCACAGAAATTTCTATTTTTAGTGACCAAGGCAACACCGTTCATCGAAATCTAAAAGGGACACATAATTATGTATCTTAGTGTAGTGTACTTGTGTGCCAAGTAATATTGAAATCAGACCAAAACTGTTGGAGGAGTAGCATTTTGAGAGTTTTTCACAGATATTTTTATTTTTAGTAACCATGGCAGCACCATTCATCAAAAACTGAGAAATAGAATTATGTATCTTAGTGTGGTCTACTTGTGTGCCAAGTTATATAATGAAATCAGACCAAAAACTGGAGGAGGAGTAGCATTTGGAAAAAAATGTTTACAGACGGACAGACAGCTAGACTGACAGACGGGCGGACGACGGACACCTAACTATCGCATAAGCTCTTCTGGTCTCTGACCAGGCCCCGGGATCATGAAACGTCTTATTAGCTTAATGTTATCTTTATGTTGTACTAAAATCTTATAGAAGTAAAGCTAGCCAAAATTAAAACAAATTTCAATATTGCTCCACAAAAGTATTGTTATCTATAAACTTAGAAATTAATTCAATAATTAATAAACATTTTGTAGGCAATTGAAAATTTGACTTAAGTCTAAGTCTGTTTCGGGATCCTGAGGCCAGTAGAGCTAAAAAAAAAAAAAAAAACAATCTTCTGCTTTCCATACAAAAGTACATGTATTTTTTTTTTTTTTTACATCAGTTAAACAGTGAGTACTCAAAGCTACAACTCATGTGATGATCATAAAGACAGGATGATGAATGATACATGGTTTAAAATATAAACAAGTAATTAAGTAAAATGTTAACTTTATTCATGACGATACAACTCCGGAACAAATGCAGCAAACGTCTTTCTTGGTCAACCACGTTGAAAAATTTTAATAAAATTTGCACAGAAAAGGTTGCGTATTGAATCTTGTCATAAAAATGAATAAGAATTTCCTTAGGGTCCGCTTCATTACACCTCATGATCCCTCATTTGTGCACATAGTAGATCACTTAAGATGTAATATGGTTCTGAAATTTCGATCATTAAAAAAAAAAAAATAGAAGGAATGAATTGTGACATGTTTAACAAGAAATATTTAATACTTTGCGTTTGTATGTCATGATGTCACGTCCATATCATGTAGCTGTTCAATAAGGTACTTATATAATTATATTAGTATATTTACATCCACTGAATATTTTCTCCTTTATAATTATTTCTTAAGAAATCCATTGTCGTTTATCAGTCAGTAAACACCACTAAGCATATCACCTCCATAGATTCTTGAGCAGTGGCTCTTCCATCAATGAAACGTACTAATAATACCATATTTAATCTACTTAATCCTACTTTAGATGATTATTTGTACAGATATAAATATAAACAATAAAATGTCTTTAAAATGTCTTTCTTTCTTTGTTAGTATGAGAATTAACGTTGCAGCTATTGCAGAAAAAAAATTACATAACCCGCTTACGCGGGTTCTGCATTTTTTCTGCAACAGCTGGAACATTAATTCCCATACTAACAACCAAAGAAAGCATTTTATTGTTTGAATATAATATCTTCATTAACTGAGTGACTTGTCATTAAAATTTCTCCGACGGTTTGGTTTTTATTTTTTTAGAAAAGTAGGAATATTTTCAGCATTGTGTTTATCTGGTCTTTTATCTCGCCTGAGCCAAAGGCTCAAGTCCAGCATCCGTCCGTCATGTGTTGTCTGAAAACTTTTCACATTTTGAACTTCTTTATAACTACTGGGCCTGTTTCAACCAAACCAGGAGATTTCAATTTGCTCAATTTGCTTAAATAAAGAGCCATTTTCTCTTTCAAGGGAAGATAACCAAGAAATAGTGAAAAAATGTTGTCTTTTGAAATTCATCTTCTCAAGTACCAATGGGCAAATAAAGACCAAACTTATGTAGAGGTTTTCTCAATTATTTTTTTCAAACCATGGCGCCTGGGGTTTGGATGCGGCAACAGAAGACAATTAGGGTTTACATGGGTCTTTTGGGGGTAATAAAATCATTTAAAAATCTTCCTCTCAAGAACTAGGCCATGATTCGTCATAAAAATATGCATATAATCTAAAGAACACCAAGGCTATGACAAAGGCTATGACAAGTCATGCAAGCATCCACAGGTAGTGCATATTCATTTTTAAAAAGGGCCCCTGTGGTGATCAAAGTTTTACTTGGGAGCTATAGGAAACTAGAAATATGTCCATAGGACATAAATGGCCTGCCCAGGGTTAATTTATTTAGCAATGCATCATGAAAAGAAATGTACATGGGGGGGGGGGGGGGGAGGGGTGTTCAAAATTTGGGTAAATAAGGTCAAGGTCACAGGGAAGGATAGGGTCAAAAAATTATGACAAAGTTGAAATGCTTTCACCAATTTGTATAAGTGTATGCAGTTTGATGAAAATAACATGAATACTAGTTTCTTTAAAACTGAGTTTTAAACACTATAAAAAGTAAAGTCAAATGTCAAAGGGAAAGTCAAGTTTAAAAATATTTAGACACAGTTGAAAGGTCTCACCAGTATGTTTAGAAATATCTTGAATATTTTTTTTTTCAATTTGGCTAAATGCAAATAAAGGAAATTAAAAGGTCATGCATTTTGGAACAGTTGAATAGTTCTCGCCAATATGTATCAGCATGTGTTTAGATAAAAATATCTTGAATAGTTTTTATGAAACTGAGCTAAACCAAATTAGAATAGTAAGATCAAGGTCAAAGTATAGGTATGTAACACTGTTGAAGAGTTCCTCACCAATAAGTATCAGTATAAGGGTTTAGATAAATATGTTTAGAAAAGTTTGTTTAAAACTTAGCGAATGCAAATTAAAGGAAAATGAGGTCAAAAGGAACGTCAAGTCCACATAATTTGATGTAATGAATAGCACTGTACTAACCAATACATATCAGCATAATGAAGTTTGACAAAAATATCTGGAAAAGTTTCTTTGAAACTGAGCTAAACGCAAATTTAAGAAGTGAGGTCAAGGTCAAAGGAAACGTCAAGGTAAAAAAATAGGTGCAGTTGAAGTTTTCACCAATATGTATCAGGAAGTCAGCATATGAAATATAGAATAAGATATCTTGAATGTTTTCTTTGAAACTGAGCTAAACGCAAAGTGTGACGAACGGACAGACCGGAGGACGGAATGTCTGAGGGATGGATATGACAAACACTATATGTCCCTACAGAGACTTTGGAATTGTTTGAACAGAACGGAGACAGACAACACTCGTCTAGATTACCTATTTTAAATGCCACATACGATTCAGAAAGAGGAGATATTCGCAGTCCGGGTGGTCAAAGTCAATTACGTCATGTAAAAAGCAACGTTAACTGCTAAATGTTTTGTAGCAATCATAGAAATTCAATGTGGACGGAAAGAAAGGTCGACAGAGGAGGAAGAATTCCTTGTAGGACCTTAATGAGTGTAGCCAAGGGGAAAAGATGACGATTATCTAGTTTATTTATATATGACAATAACCATGACAACAATGACAAGAGGAAAAAAATCATAAAAAGTGTCATCTATGTTTGCATGTTGAGTATTATAATGCTAATTTACAATATCATCGTGTTGCATTAAACACTAAACAAATCATCATCTACAGTCATAATCGTGTTGAGCAATATCTAAATATATCTAAAGTAAAGCTGAAATTAGTTGTGCTAGCTGTCATTTATTCAGGAAACTACACTGTGTTCCATTGCAGCTGCAGAAAGCCATTACAGGGGTCTCCATTTGAACTGAATTAATGAAGTTAATTATACAGGAGTGAAATGATTAGAACTGTAAGAATTCAGGTGAAAGGGCCACGCCTAATGTTTTCACTTAGCTTTGCTCTTAAATGCTTATATTAACATAATATAAAAATAAATATTATATTACCCTAAATGATTTGTAATCTCGAAAATAGACTGGACATTTCCATATATTTTTCTTTCAACACGACCAGATTAAACCGCCTTAAAGCTTTCAGAATCATTAAGTGCTTAATTGCTGTAAGAATGTTACAGAAAATACGAGATACTGTCCTGTTTTAAATAGAATTTTAACATATGTAAACAAATATTTCAAGCACATTTCAGTAAACAAACTACGTAAAGGACAAGAAGCTCATCTAAAGTTCCATCGGTGACATTAAATTTTATCATACAGCAAATGAAAGGAGATGGGTGAACAAGGCGTACAGAATGCCTATATAGCTTCAGATATGTAAGAATCATATTCAATTTGTGAATTTAGTATTTAGAGTAAAGTTATCTTTTTTGAAATTTTATAATTATAAAATTATGATAAACAAAACTTTTTTGAGGAAAATTTTCTAGGCCAAAAGG